GTTGTGTATACCACCCCACCCACCCTGTGATAAATGTTCGTGTTACCAATAGCTCGATAGCCCTAAGGGCCAATATAATATTTTAGTCGATATTATTATCTGAAATAGTTAAGGCAATCAAATAATAAACTTTCACCTTGAAATGGGCGAAAACCCATCCTCCTCTTTATCTCAGCTGATGGAGTATGGCTAGGAAAGATTATTAGAGAAAGTGGTTTCGTTTCAGTTATTTGACTTCAGCGAACTTTGACTTCAGCTGTTCGCTGTGAAGCAGAAGGTACATATGGTTTCTCGGCAAGAACGTGTTTAAGCATCAAGGTTATATTGACTCCACGTCTAAGTCCTACAAAATTTGACAAATCAATCTCATACACAAAAGGAAAGAAAAAGAGGAGTTAAACGAAAGTTTAATTCAAACTCTTTGAAATGAGATGCGGTGGTGGTGTGAAAGTTTAATTTCAAATCCATTGAAACGTGACGTTTCCTTTAATTAATTTGGTATTTTGCAAACGCAACAGCGACAATCTCTTTTAAGCATGATTATTAAGTTTGCTACAAGACTGATTTTAATGACTCTTCAAGTTGTAAACTGATACGATTAGCGAGGGAAACTATGTGCTTGCTTCACTCATACTTCTAGCCGACAAACTTGCAGATGCAAGGCATAACGTGATGGTATAAGGTCTTTTACAAATACATTGCCATTTTTATTTTTCTATGCCTATCTCGTACCTTATGCCCATATCGACCGCTGAGGGGAGCATCCAATCTGTATCTATAGATAGACGATTTGCTTGTGCAGGGAAGAATCGTGTATTCAACATAAATGATGAAGCATAGACAGATAGACAAGAAAAATTAGACTTTAAAACGCAAGTGGTTAATACAGAGGAGATAGCAATGTCATGGATTTCACTGTCTGTGTTGAGCAAGTGGCCATAATATGCAAGTATGAAAGAGGAAATTCCAAGGTGAATAATAATCTCTATGATAATGTGGTCGCTATATGTAGATGGTCGCATATTAATAAAGGGAAAGAAAAATATCTTCTGGTCTGGAAAATACATTTGAATACCTTTTCCCAGTTAAATGTTAATATAAAACATTATTCATACACAAATATCATTCATTGCAATAGAGTTACACTGACTGCATGCAACCTACATAATAAGGGTTAGGACAAGTGAATATAGAAAATCATCCTTGGGTAGTATTTGTATCGCATTCCTCAAATGCTAAATAATAGCTCCTAATCTTTAGAAGCTTTGAGCGCTTTAAAACATTTAAAAACATCTAAAAAGAATTAGAAAACCAAATATAATGATATGATTGCAAAAATAAAAACAAACACCACAAAAATAGAAACAGAAAAACATGCTGAAAATTTTTAAGGTAAGGATACATTATAAGGATAAATTATTAGGTCCTTATGACTATTCTTGCAGTTAAAATAGATGAGTTTTCAGAACGTTCTTGAATAAGATCACTGTGTCTTTGTGTCTATGTGCATTGGGCAATTCGTTCAAAGTTGCTGGGCTCTGGTATGCAAAAGAACGTTGTTCATATGATTTCATATTCATAGTGGGAAGTGTCAGAAGAGGAGCGTAAGCATCTTGCAGGTGTGTACACATGGGTGAGGTCAGATAGGTATGTTCGACTGGAGTCTGAAACGTAGCACAGAGAACAAATTTTGTGTTCAATTCTAGATCGTATGGATAGCCAGTGTATGGTACAGAGCAGCGGAGAGGCATGCTTTGATAGTGGTTATCTAAGGATGATCCGACAGATGTTGAGATGAACCAGACAGAATTGAGTTAACATAGTCCAGTCTTGAAAGTATTAAGGAACACACAAGTGTTTTAGTGGCATTATCTGACAGTTATTTGCCAATTTAGCTGATGCGTCTCAGCTCAAGATATGCAGCCTTGCATATGTTCATGACATGTCGATGCAATGAGAGTACTGTCATGAGTAACACAGGTTTCGTACTGACTTCTTGAATTTAATGTTGGTGTTGCTAATATTTATTGTCTGCGGTAAAGGATGTGAATGAGAAAGTCTTTGTTTTATAATCAGGATGGCTTCAGTTTTATCATCATTCATTTGCAGCTTGTTGCATGTCATCCATGATTTCACACCAGAAATGCACCTCTTTACCCCTTGGATGGTAGCTTCAACTCCAGCTGGATGGGTAGATTTGTATATTTGGGTGTCATCAGCATGCAATTGGTGAGACACTGAATGAGGATCTATGACACTTGAGAGTAGCTGAGTGTATAAAATGAAGAGAACAGGTCCAAGAACAGACACTTGTGGAACACAACAGCATAGATCAACTGAGCTGGAGTGTTTTCCATTTGCATGCATGCTACAATTTGTGTCCTGTTGACCAAGTAGGACTTGAACCATAGTAAGGCTGTATCATGAATGCCAAACACATACTGGAGATTGTGAAGTTATATATCATGGTCTATAGTGTCAAATGATGCAAACAGGTCAAGAAGAGTAAGAACTGTAGTCTTTTCGCCATCCAAAGCAGAGAGAAGGTCATTGACTACTTTCAGAAGAGAAGTTTCAGTACTGTAGCGAGGGCGATATGAAGACTGTATACTGCTAAAAAGACTGTTTGAATTCAGATGAGATACAAGTTGGGATAGAAAAGCTTTATCTAAGATTTTTGACATTAATGGGAGATTAGAAACTGGGCAGTAGTTCTTTTGATTATTATGGTCGAGTGTTGGTTTCTTCAGCAGAGTTACAATGGCAGTTTTGTAAAATGATGTGAATCAGTACCGGATTACCAAATAGAGTATGTACCGGTCTATGGGCCCCACGCCTTTTATGGATCTCGCGACAACGGATCTAAATAATATTGAATTGATTTGATCTTGAGAGATTCAGACTGCCTAAGGGCCTTCACAGGCAGAGCCGTTTAAAAAAGTTTGGGGACCCAAGGCACAAACTCTAACTTTAAAAGTAATCAGAATTGCGCCTCAGTCTCTCAGTCTCAGATATAGAGTATTGCATTGCATTTCAATGTGCAGGTGTGTCATTTTGTTAAATTTGTTGATATAGTACTAAACTGCAAACACAGCCCACACCTAAATTTTTTTTTTGGGTCGCCGCGGGGCCCCCTGCTGCGCGTGGCCCTAGGCACGAGCATCGCATGCCTATGCCTATGCCTTAAACGGCACTGTCCACATAGTTTAATCACGCACTTTCCTTGAAAGAATATTACATATCGTTATGAGATAATGTGCTTATGTTAAAGGGAAGCAATTATAATCGTCTTGAAGATAATTTAAACGCGGTTGTTTTTCTTCAAGAATTACTCAATATACTTAAAACTGGAGTAGATTATGCTAATCATAATTAAATAAACGAATTAAAGTCACTAAATTTCACCAGATTTAGCATCATGGAGCATTAACTTCAAGATTGAGACGTTTTGATATCGGTCCATTACAATAAGAGTTTATGTACAAATTGAGAGAGAGAGAGAGAGAGAGAGAGAGAGAGAGAGAGAGAGAGAGAGAGAGAGAGAGAGAGAGAGAGAGAGAGAGAGAGAGAGAGAGAGAGAGAGAGAGAGATATGAAACTAATGCAGGCGAGGAAGGAACAAAAGGAATTTCAACAAACAAATAGGAAATACACGCGAACATCAGAATGGCACAAGACCGTTGCTCATAAATCCAATTTAAAACAAAATTTATTATTACAGAACGGGTCCATTGATGACAATGACCTAACTTTCAAAGTGGAGTCTTAAAGTATGACAATTTTACAATTTGTTGGAGAATCCACTGACTTTGACTCAAATTAAGCTTAAAAGAATTCCTAGCGGTTGAAAATGTATTATTCCGCAAATGGTGTTTCAATCGGGCGTGTCTTTGTCTTATTGTTCCATCTGATTATCTTTAATTATTATCTTTCAAGATGGACACTGACATGTGGTTTCGCCTTGGTCTTCATACTGACCTTTGAGTGACCTTTAATAGTTGGGATTTAATGGCGCTTGTTCTTAATTCCAGTTTGAAACGTTACACGCAGTGACATCAGTTTCTAAAAATAGATTTTCGGACCAGGCGAACGAGCCTAATCGCATCCAGTGATACTTTCCGTATTATTCTTCTTACCGAAAACGATGTACCATGTGCTAAATTTGTTCATCTGAATATAGACGAGAATTCCAATATTCAGTTACAGCGATGATTAGAATGTCGATGTCTGTTCCCAAAACGAAAAATAAAGCATACTACTTAAAAGTTGAGTAAAAAAAAATAATATACATGTTGGGACTTAGTGTATTTATGCACAGGAATCTGCAGTTTTATCAATAAAGCACGACGAAATTTCTAACAACATGAAATCACCTTAACAGTATTATAAAACGGTATTATAAATTTATAATACCATTCAGGTGATTTCAGGTTGTCAGAAATTTCGTCGTGCTTTATTGATAAAATTGCAAACTCCTGTGATTTCTGTTTTCTGGACTACGATCGTTTCTTCAATCGTGCATTTTGTATCTTGTATTTTCAGTACTCTACTGTATGCAAAGTGTTGTAAATAACATAAATGCAGATTTTTTCCTATCTTTTGTAAGTTTTATGTATACGTTAATCATAAAAACCAGAAGTCACTGTCATGTGTTTTTGATTTATAACTACATTCTTGTATGGTTTTGTACCGTTTGTACCACATAAAACCCACAGTTTCGTTGATATTTAAATTTACAAGTGCAATTTATTATTTTTATTATTGTTGTTATTGTTCCAGTGCTTATATTATTCTTTCATTATTATTAGTATTATTCTTTCATCCTCCTCCTCTTCCTCCTCCTCCTCCTCATTATTATTATTATTATTATTATTATTATTATTATTATTATTGCCGCAAATAATCCCGGTAATTGTGTCATAATTGCATGCATATGTAAGTAATTAAAGTTACTATTATATCTGTTAATGATTATTTTTGCTATTTTTCTAACTTCTAACC